TCGTGGACGGTGTTGTGGTTAGTGCTGTTACCTCACAGCAAGAAGGTTCCAGTGTTGAGCCTGGGCCAACTGGCAGAGTTTGTGTGTTCACCTTGTGCATGCATGGGTTCTCTCCTGGTTCTCTGGCTTCCTCCCACAGTCCAACAGCATGCAGCTTAGATTGGTTAGCGACTCTAAATTGCCTGGAGGAGTGAGTGTGGGTGATTGTTTGTCTCTGACTTTTCGCCCTGTGATAGACGACGACCTGTCCAGGGTGTACCTCGCCTCTCGTCCAATGTCAGTTGTCCAGCCCCCCCGCAACCCTAGTCAGGATTAAGTGGTATACATAATGGATGGGTGGATGGATATATAGTCTCCAAGTCTATTGTCTCATAATCCATTTGTGCCCAGGTGCCTCCACACAACCTAGTCATTGTGGCAAGTCCAGGCAGCTCCTTTCTATGTTTGCTTTTAGTCAGATTCAATATTTGAAATGAATTATGCAAAAATCATGAATAAATGGAAAATTGAAGGGACTTGCAAGCTCCCCCTTATAAATAGATGTTGTTCTGTGTAAGTCATTGTTTTCCTGTATCGCTGCATTGTACAGTAGGTGGTGTGTGGAAAATTAGCTGGATTAGTTACACTGGACACATGAAAAAAGGAAATATGCCTTGAAAGTCCTATAAGTTGCTCACATCTGTCAAAAATCACTTGTCAGTGTGCTGCTGGCTGTCAAACCAGAAACTCAACACCATTGCTGTTGTTGAACACACCTAAAGAAATGCATTCATTCTGACAGCAACCGAAAGTAGTAAGACTATGTAACAATGCTTGCCCATATATAGAAGTTCCTCCTAAAGCCTGAAGGTCTTATATAAAGTGAAGTGAACTCTCAGTCTGCATTCTTCAACCAACCTGGAGAGAGGTAGGTGAACACACTTGTTTTTTTTTTCTCTAGGAAAGTCCATATTTTCTATCTATGCCCAGGTGTCTCTACACAACCTGTTAGTCATTATGGCAAGTCCAGGCAGCTCCTCTCTGTGTTTACTTTTAGTCAGGTATTTGAACTGAATTATGTAAAAGTCATGAATATATGGAAAACTGAAGGGGCTCACACAGCTCCCCATTATAAATAGATGTTCTGTGTAAGTTCTTGTTTTCTCCTATCGCTGCATTGTAGAGTAGGTGGCATGTGAAATATGCCTGGAAAGTCCCTTAAACTCCATGCTCACATCTGCCAAAAATCACTTAATGCAACACCATTGTTCTGTTGAACACACCTATTCTGACAGCA